TGCAGAAGCTGGTGAGCCTAAGATCAGCAGATTGGAGAGAAGGGCTCCCACTCACAGGCTGTAAAGGTTGATGAATTCCAAGATTGGCAGGCAAGACCACAAGTTTTCTCCTGATTCACACAGATGCAGGGGTTGATGAATCCAAGATTGGCAGGTCAGAGAGCAGGGCTCTGCTCACAGGCTGTGAAGATCGATGAATCCCAAGTTCGGCAAATAAGATGACAGCTCAAGTCCCAAGAACCCGAGGTGAGACAACAGGAGGCAGCTGCAGTATCCAGACTGAGCAAAAAGCCAGAATGTCTCCCTATAATCAGATGCAGACCACATCCCCAAGGAAATTCCCTTTCATCTGACTGGCTACTCACAGAATATTCAATCATGGGAGTGATCACATTTAAATACTGAAATCACGGCCCAGCCAAGTTGACACACAATCTTAACCATCACAGTCCACCCCTTGTCAACGTGGCACATGTACACATCTCCTTAAACCATACATAATCTCTGAATAAAGACAATTAGAAAGTCATACTTGGCGCCTAACATGATACAACTAACACACGTACAATTGAAAATGCACTAGCCCCAATTACATCTTATATTTTATAAGCGAAGGAAACAAAAATATTTGATGCACACATACAAAGCAGAAATACTCATAACAATTACAGTCCCCGTTTCTGCAACTGGTCATGTGGTCATACCTGGTATTTAGAACTACTTTCTTCCACCACCCATTCCGTAGTCCCTTTGCCCTCAGCAAGCACCTCGGCTGGTCGTGGTTCTTTGCCTGGTGGGGTGACCCAAACCTTCATTCCTGAAGGGTCTGGGGTTATTAGTAGTCAGGTTGGAATTAAGCTGCTGTAGTTTTCCATTGACTTTAATCACAGGGCATGGTAGTACTAAGAGACACCCTAAGGAATCTCCTGCATTCCAGACATACTCTTCTTTACCTCCATTATGTAATATCAATCCAATTTCCTCTTGCTAATCAGGATCAATCACACTAGCCAGTATGGTAACTCCCTTCTTTGCCTGTTGATCCAGAGGCATAAGGAGCCCAAAGAGGCCAGGTGGCATTCTTAACTTCCATTTCAATGGAATCTGTGATGTGTTTCCAGGTGGGAGCATTCCTTCCTTTGGAAGTAAGACTTCTAGACCTGCAGAGCATGAGGTCGTGGGGACTGGAAGCAAAAATCTTGCAAGTGGGTCACTAGGGGTAATAGTGAGTGGTGCCACTCCCATTTCCACCCCTTCATTCCTAGGCCCATGAATCCTGGCTATGGGAGAAAGAGCATCATATATTGGACGCTGGTTTAGAGCACATACAGCCTCTTGGAGAACATTGCCCCAACCCTGCAAGGTATTGCCACCTAGTTGGCGCCGTAATTGTGTCTTTAGAAGGTCATTCCATCGTTCTATCAAGCCAGCTGCTTCAGGATGATCGGGAACACGGTAAGACAAGTGAATTCCATGAGCATGGGCCCAAAGCCGTGACTCATTTGCTGTGAAGTGAGTTCCTTGATCTGAGGCAATGCTGTGTGGGATACCATGACAGTGGATAAGGCAATCTGTAAGTTCATGGATGGTAGTTTTGGCAGAAGCATTGTATGCAGGGAAGGCAAGTCAATATCCAGAGTAAGTGTCTATTCCAGTAAAGACAATGGAAGTGGTCCAATGTAATCAACTTGCCACCAGGTTGCTGACTGATCACCTCGAGGGATGGTGCCATATAGGGGACTCATTGTTGGTCTCTGCTGCTGGCAGATAGGGCACTCACCAGTGGCTGTAGCCAAGTCAGCCTTGGTGAGTGGAAGTCCATGCTGCTGGGCCCATGCGTAACCTCCACCCCTGCCACCATGGCCACTTTGTTCATGAGCCCATTGAGCAATGACAGGAGTAGCTGGGAAAAGAGGATGACTGGTTTCGACAGAACATGTCATCCTATCCACTTGATAGTTAAAATCATCCTCTGCTGAGGGCATCCTTTGGTGAGCATTCACATGAGACACAAATATCTTCACTTCTTTGGCCAATTCGGGGAGGTCTATCCACATACCTCTTCCCCAGAAATCCTTGTCTCCAATTTTCCAATCATGTTCCTTCCAAGTCCCTGATCATCCGGC